GGAATGAAATTTTAAAGTATACAAACAAATATTTTTATATCACTGAATTTTTGGAATCACCACTAAACTACAGTAAAATCATCTCAAGAAAGAAGGTAGAAAATGAAGTCAAACATAAGAATTTTTTTGTATATTAATGAACCTCAGTCTTTTTTCCTAAAATCAAGAATCTGAGACTTATCCATAAAAAGCACAAGTTTCAAAGATACATTCAGCAAAGGAAAGAAAAAAAAAACCCTTGAAGTAAATTAGAGACTCTGGAGGTAAGGTATTCTTTTCTTACCTACAGAGACCAGGTTTCTGAGGTTCTCTAACATCACATCTCTATACAAATTTTGCTGAGCAGGGTCCAGGTATTCCCACTCCTCTGCAGTAAATTCTATGGTGATATCTCTGAATGTCAACAGTTCCTGAAATAAAAAAATAAATAAATAAAAAACACATTCACTATGTGATCATGGGCAGATTTTTTAGGGTCCAGATATTCCAATTTATTCAGAGAGAATTTCCTAGCCACATAACAGAAATGTCAATAATTTCTGAAAAAAACAAGTAAGTAAATAAATACCTTAGTGTGTAGCCAAGAGCAAAGTACTTAACTGAACCCAAGATAAAATGAGGGAGTTAAGAGTAATGGCTCTGATATATGTCTATGACCTGAATTACACAAAAGACACTTCAAAACACTAATATACCTGAAGGCATTTTCCACATCTCTGGGAATAGAATTTTAAAACAAACAGTGGAAAAAATAAAATGCTCAGTAAAAACAGCTTAGATGGTAGTTAATACCTTTATGTATGATGTTTGCCATAGTATGTTTATAAACCATCAACAGAGATTTACATTAAATTCTATTTCAGATAAACTTCCTAATAGCCAACAAATTAGTATAGACACTATGCTTATATAGAATGTAAAACATAAAACTAAGACATTAACACAGGAACATACATTTTGAGTGTTATAATTACATCAGATGAAAAAGTCATGGTGAGTTAGAAGCATATTTCTTCCATTTTCATGCGTACAATGATGAACTGTAGATCTTAGCATAATGCAGATTCTGATTCTGGTCTGGGTGGGGCTAAGATTCTGCATTGCTAACAAACTCACCAGTGATGCTCATGTCTCACCTCTAAAAGCCACACTTGTGAATAGCAGAGAGGTAGAACACTAAGAAGAATTCATGAGTAACATGGAATTGAGAGTTTCATAAAATACTCAGATTACAACGTAATAGCAAGAACAGAGCAATCCTTTTTGGACATTTGCTACATACTAGATGTCATTCTAGCAGTTTTTAAATATATTAATGCTTAAAACCACAAAAATAACCTGATAAAAACATTCTTTTGGGAGAATATTTTGAAAATTATCCTGTGAAAAATAGAGACTGGTTTTTATCCCATTTATCTGAAATAGAATTTATCTCAAGGGTCATACAGGTCAAGATATAGAGCCTACTCCAACCAAATGTTTAGAGCAGATTTTGTAACTATGAAGAGTAATAAAAACAAGTTAAAAAGGCGGCAACACAAAATTGCTCAAATAATGCTTATATTTTCAATACACAAATGCATAGAAATTGTAGCTATATGCACATTAAAAGTGATAGAACATTTTGTATTAATATATTTAATTGTAAAAGCATTATAAATCCATTGATGGTTTTAAACATACTATGGAAGACCACTACACACAAAGATATTAACTAACACCTAAGCTATTTTTTCTGAGCATTTTATTTTTTCCAATGTTTGTTTAATTTACTCTAACTACCATCTTATATATCAACTTTGTGATACTTAAATATATTAATTATATATGTTAATACTTATTTCTATTCCTTCAAAATGCAGAAAAGTAATAATGAAACACGTTTGAGACATGAGGAGAGAATAAAATAAAAACCAACAAGACTGAGTTTTTTTAGTTTGACCAATTTCAAAAGTACTGTCTCCAGTTAATAAACATGAGTCATGAGTGCCTTTATATTCCAAAGCAAGCTATGACACAATGGAAACTGAAAAGGGGAGTTTATGCATTAAATATGATGGCTTATACACAGCACTTAGTAAATTCTCCCTAGAAAATAATAGCATTAATGACACAGAGAAAAAAATAACCTTAATAGTGAAGGAATCTAGCAGAGCCCCTTACTCAAGTGAATGAAGTTATCATCAGCTGTAATGGGACAAATTCATACCAAAAGTCTAATCACCATTGTGATATGAGTAGGAAAATTAAATCATAATCTAAATCTAATCTTAGAAAACAGAGTCTCTGGGGAAGGGCACAAGTGATGGAATGTCTTCAAATTGCCCATGTGACACCAACTGGGCTGAGAAACACTTAGCTAAATTCTGTCTCTGAAATTCCAAATCATCTGGGATTCTGGGACCCACTTCAAGTAATGTGGTTCTGCTGGTTTGGAAGGGGTCTTTTTTTTTTTTTTTTT